GAGTCTATGGGAAAACAGGACTCAACTTATAGGGACAATTCAACTGAGGGACACTCTTAAAGCNCCGGGTTCCGCGCAATTTGAGTGAGAAAGGTTCGGCTTTGTCTCGACTGACACCCGGCCTATTCCACCATAGGGCGTCTGAGCTCGTCAGCTGTCGACGATTGCGAGCCATTTTCTTGGCCTGACCCCATTAGGTTCGGCTTTGCGGATCATTGGGATGAGTTGTGCAACCCTGGGAACTGTTGATATTATTACGCGTTCCGGAACTTCCGTGCATTTCAACCCCCGGATATATACAGACGGATGCTAGCAGCACAGGGCGGAAACCCCTTATACAGGATATTCCTCCCCCAAGCAATAATTCCCAGCATGGAAACTTGTCTGTCAGATTTTGATGCTGAATTAATTTTAGCGGGTTGATCTGGTATTCTGCTTTGGAATCCGGCATGATAATAACATCGTGGCTGAGACGGATTGATCCCTGAAATTGGGTTGCTTTGAACAGTGTATAGCACAGGTTCACATGTATACAGTGAGACCCCCACATGCGGACACCTTGACACGGGGACAATTCGACACAGGGACATTTATTTTTCAATAAAAAAATCATAAAAAAGGCCTGACATAGGGACACCGAGTTCACTGACTCAACATGAGGACATTGTATGATAAAATTGGCAATACATTTTAGGAAAATTGACTTTTATTAGGCTTAATTGCAAGGCTTAATTGCAAGATATTTCCAACCCTAAGATTTATGTAAGAAAAATTCTTTGTTAATTTTCCCATCACTTTCCCATCCATTCAGCTAGTTTAAAAAATTACCTGTAGCGGCTGTAGCACAGAGGGACTTCCTTCTCTTTTTGTGACTTAGATGTTCTTTTTGCAGATGCCAACATATCAATGAACAAAGCAGTGGTATACTATACAATGCTCCAAATGCTCTTATTGGGTTGAAAATATATTCACTGAACCAAATTCAAGGGGCAAAGAAAATTTTTTTCATAGAATTCTGAAGAATATTTCTTCCATAAAACACCAATTAAAAATTATATAATGTGAGTCTATGGGAAAACAGGACTCAACTTATAGGGACAATTCAACTGAGGGACACTCTTAAAGCTAAGCTGAAAAAGCAGCATGGCAACTATTATATTGTACCTGTATAACTTTATTGCTTCATGAACTACCTTTACAGCTGTTGCAGAGCTGCTGGGTTTCTTCCATTTTGGGGCTAGGAATTTAAACCATCAGGCACATGAATGCATTATTGAGGGTCAAACATTTGTTTTTCTTTCTATACTCTCACAAAAAAGCCATTTTCCTTAGTTATGCGCATTGAAATGTTGCAACAGCAAATCCATATACATATGACCAAAAAGCTCTGTTATGACCCAACCGTTGTCATACAGAAATAAAAGTATTGGTTTAGGACCAAACAATCAATAACTTCTAAATAAGAATTTGCTATGAAAATATTTGTTGTAAAATACTGTTATTTATAGCTTGGTGCATGTGGTAATGGAACATATTTAACGCCTCAATTCCTTACAAATTTCATGTGTCCTAGAAAATTGATTATATCTTGAATATACCTTTCAAGCATGAGTCAGCAAAAAGTGTGGAACTTCTTAAAATGTTTTCCTTGTTGAATAAAGAGTGCTGATGAGCAAATATAATGTTGGTAGTAAAAAAAAAATCAGTCAAAAAAGAATTAACTTGGAAATCAAACTACTGTACTAGCTTTCAATAAATGCTGCTAGCTACTAGCTTTCAATGTGGGTTAATTTGATAATTGAGATATCTTGAGATTCCTTAAGGAGTATTGCCAACTCTTCTTGAGCATACACTGAAAATGGGATGAACCAAACTTTGGTTTTCATTTCAGTTATTTCTGAATCTTTCACATGTAGACATTTATACTGCTGTAGAGTAATTTACAGTACTGGTGTATTGTATTTTGAATTTCTGGTATTTTTTCAGGTTAATCTTTCAAATAAGCTTATTTTGACTTTCAGAACTGTCAGAAAACTGTGAGTCAATTCTTCTATTTGAATTTTTGACTCAAAACAAGTGAGCTGATGTCACGTTAGTTGATCGGACACTGCAGCTTCATGGAGAATATAGAAATAAACTTTTCTTTTATGAATAAAAAAATCCAAATTGTGCTTGGAAAGTAATAAAGGTAATGATTAGATTATACAATTTAGGGTTTGAAATATATCTGCGTGATCCAGTCCACATGGGTGGATGAAATTGAAGAGAAAAGTTCGTAAATTACGTTTTTCCTTGCATAACACCAGCGACGGAAAAATCAGGCATTCGGAAACACCACAAGGAATTTCAAAACTTTCTTTTTCATGGTTCATGAGCACGTAATGCTTTTTTTCGGTTGGTTTCTCACACTGAATGGATTGTTTACATTCGCTCATCTGTTTTTAATACGTCCTTCTTTTGTGGTCCACTCGATGGATTACATACGTGTGTGTATGGCGCAAATATTTCGCTAACATAAATAACTTTCTGGCTGATTAATTATGTATACGCAGATGAACTAGCATGTGAACAATTTCCGGATGCTGGAAGTCATGGAATGAGGCCAACACGTCATCAACTGCAATTCGGAAATCAGTCGTCTTGATATCGTACCCAACTTTTTTTTTTAATTGCAGTCTTTCTATTTTATTTGCTGGAAGTCAAAATTTTCTGAAAATTAAACATTCAGCGCAAACAATTCAAAATTACTGTTCCTTTACTTTTTTATTTTGCTAATCTGATATTTATTTTTACCTTCTGCATGCAATCTGAAAATGTTGCTGATAATTTTGAGATGATGAAAAATTAAATTACACCATTAGCAGAAAACTACTCCGATTTTTGTTGAGGAGCTCTACATAAAATTGCTTTTCTGAGCTTAAGTAATTGGTTCTTGATTAATAACTCTTTCCTCCAAGGAAGGGCTAAAGCCTTAGAGAGATGTCATTATAATAGAGACGAATATTTGGATTCGTGCAAAAATGTGACAGATTTTTGCTCTTATTTGTAATGGACAAAATATCAGTTCTGGAAGAATAATCATTTAGGGTAAGAAAATGATTTAAAATTGCTGCTTGTGGATGAGTTGCTTCAGTAAATTAGTGGAAGAAATGCGAACAGTTCAAAGAAAACCCTCTGTCTTCGATTTTTCATATAAATTATGAGCCTAAGAAACTTATCACATGAAATATTCTTGATGTAAAAAAAAATGTTTAAGATGTGTGATCAGGACTGCAGTTATAATTACAGTGGTACCTTGTAGCATAAACCCCGCACACTACAAACATTTCATAGTACGAACATTTTTTTTGGCAATTTTTCATCCTCATAGTATGAACAAAATTCGTAGTACAAACAAGCGTTTCATTTCTGTAAGAAAAAATCGAAATTACCAATTTTTTCCATGCTCAGTGCAAAAACAGCTGCAAAAGGCTAATTTTTTATTTGCTTGAAGGGAATTAAAGCGAAGACGCCAGAGAGCTTATTTCTCTAAAAAAAATTTATTGCTGCTGTGTTTGAATAAAACAAATTTTACTCACTTTTTGTGCTTTTAGTGTTCTTTCTGTGAATCATTTTTTTGACACACAATCAGTTACTGAATTGTTTGGAAAAACTATAAGAACTGGTACAGCAAGAACGCAAGATGTGGATGTAATTGGTGCATCTGAAGTGTCCCAAAGTCAAAATGCCTCAAAGTCAAAGTCTGGTTTTCTCTATAGACTTACATCATATAATTCTTAATTTGTGTTCTATGCAAGCATATTCATCAGAATTCCATGAAAAAAAGGCAAAAAAATTGCCTGCCAATGGAAACTTCTGCAATCAATATATTTCAGCTCAACAAGGAGATTTGGAGCATTGATAACTGTACCTCTTTGCAGGACATGGAATGTTTGCATTCTGTGTAAAAATAAAATTCTAGTCAAAAATAGAGAAGGAAGTTCCCTGCCCTAAGCTGGAGGGATTCTTTTTAGAATCAGCTAAATGGATGGTAAACTGATTAGAGAAATGCAAAGAAACTTTCTTTACATAGATCTTAGGGTTGGAAATATCTGTTTCTTGTAATTTGTCCTGAAAATTGTTTGCAAATTCAGCACACAATGTCTCCGCATGTCAAGTCAGTGTCTGCATATGTCAACCCTTTTTATAATGAATTTATTTACAGGAAAATAAGTGTCTTTATGTTGAATTGTCTGCATGTTGAGGGGTCCACATGTGGGGGTCTCACTGTATTTTAGATATTGTCCCTCAAATACATATTCCTTGCTTCAAACTGGCTGATTGTTCATGCTCCATTTTTTTTATTCCTCACTGTTCCTTTGTATGTTGTTATTTAATTGGGTTGCTGCCCTTATGCCAAACAATTATATAATTACAGTGGCCCCCCGCCTAACAGACCTCCCGTGTAAGGGATTTTTGCTGAACATGCTTGAAAGGTATATTCAAGATATAATCAATTTTCTAGGACACATGAAATTTGTAAGGAATTGAGGCGTTAAATATGTTCCATTACCACATGCACCAAGCTATAAATAACAGTATTTTACAACATCAAGCAGTTTTTCCTCCCGCCCAACAGACAAAATCCGCCAAACAGACTTCTTTTGTTTTAAAATTAGTGTTGAAAATTGAAATTTTTAATTTCTTATGTAATTGAATTTGTGTAAAGGATTTTTTGTCTAACAGACTCGTCCCTTGCACAAATAAAGTCCGTTAGACGGGGTTTGACTGTATTCAGATGTTATCAACAGCAAAAAATTAGACATCACGGCTTTTTTTCCATGCTCAGTGCAAAAAACAGCTGCAAAATACTTTTATTTTTTCTCTTCCTGGTGGGACACACAGAAGCTGGTGGAGAGCTTGGTTCTCTCCAAAAATAAATACCAATCACAACATCGCAGCACATTAGAATGCAAAAAGAAAGAAAAATCGATATACACCACAACTATAATGATGTAAAATGTTGAGCAGCAAATAACGCAAAGAAAAAGGGGGGGAGGGAAATGGTGGGTTCTTAATAGGCCGGTTTGTAAGCGGGTTTGTAGGCGGGCTTGTAGGCGGGTTGTGGCTTGTAAGGTGCATACGCTGGCTCGGGTTTGTAGCTGGCAGCTGGCTTGTAGGAGTCGTACTTGGGTTCCCCGGAGTAGGTGACCTCGGCCACGTAGCCAGAGTACCCGTCAACGTAGTACTTGACGTACTGGACACGGCCGTCGGGCAGGAGGACGTGGTACGAGCCTTCGGTCTTGTCGCCATCGCGGTACTCGTTGTGGCCGAAGTCGTTGTAGGAGTAGTCGTCCTTCACGACCCAGTTGAAGTCGTACTTGGCTGGGTGCTGTCATATGTATATGGGTCATAAACACAGTGGGGTATATATTTAATAGGGGAAAAATCAACCCTCTATATTTAATAGGTGAAAAATCAACCCTCTATATTTAATAGGTGAAAAATCAACCCTCTAATTTGGGTGAAAAATAAAATAAATCCAGAATTCTGTTTCTTCTACTGAATTCACTCAAAATAATTATACAGTGGACCCTGGGTTACCAAACTTTTTGGTTGAGAAACTTTTGGTTTTCAGGAAAAAATGCCTTCGTTCTGGGTATTTTGTTCTGGGGAAAAATTCCAAATTTTCAAGTTCAAAATTTGATTTTATGGCTGAAATTTATGGCACAATCTCAGTGAAAATAAGTAATCTATGCACTGATATGAAAATTCTTTCCTTATTCTGGCACTCTGAACTGTGCAATCTTATTGTGTTTTTGAATTTGTTTCAGCTAGATTATTCATATATGCTTTTCTGTGACTCAATTATCTGCTTTTCTGTGCTTAGTTTTTCTAGATGTTCAATTGTTAGAAAGGTCTACTTTATTGTTACTGTAATTTCAGCACTGAAACAAAGAAATTTTGTTTTCACCTGACATGTATCCTTCATCAGTGTGTGTTTCTCTGCTGGATGTGAAGCTTTTTATCTTTGGTTTCATCATGGCTACTTCTATATAAACCATTGTAAAAACATACTGGGGACATATAAGATGCAGCGATAACTTATTCTGATTATAGTTGATAGTCTTGTAATGTTTAAATTCCATGTTCAATTGTCTTTTGGTTCACAGAATTAATGAAATGCTTCCCTGTTGATCAAAGTCTATGCAAAAAGCATAGCATGTATTTTTAGAATATCATAAAAATATTTGATACATATTTTATCACAGAAATTCCTATTAGCAGAAAGCTATATAAAATCTGGCCTGTATGAAATAATTTCGTCACCATTTAAAGTCATGCTGAATAAATTCAAAACGTATGTGATGAGTATAATCACTGTTCCGTCTATAAAATGATACAAAATCTGGTAAAAATAGCGAAAATTTCTGTTTTGCTGAATTTCATCTTGGATTTGCCCTTATTTATTAATGGAGGGCACTCCATCAAATTTATAGCCCATTGAATAATTTTATTCTAGTATAAAATCGTTCCCAAAAAGTGCTGGTAAAAACGGACCCCCAATCATTTCAGCCATTAAAAAGGGAATTCAGTCCCTTTTCTCATTTGATATTTCTCGTGATACAGGACTGATTTATCAGCACTGAGCTTATTAATTCCATTTCAAGCTCAGTTGACATAGCTTTTTGATATTAACAGACGAGCTTCTAGTAGATGAATACTGTATATGATACAATATATTTATTTGAAACATATAGAAGCATAATATATATTATAAAATATATGTTAAATGTAAGCATAATACTTAAAGCCGCGCGTAACCAGGACAACCTACTTGTCGGAAATCCATTTTTCTGGGAAATTTATGATTCAAACATGAGTGCTGGTCATGCGGATGCACATTGAATTCATATATTGGGCATAATGCTAAATACATACAAAGGGATTTCATTTTTTTTTATTTCAGTGTTGTATCTCGAATCATTGAACTGTTACCCTGTTATACTTGTACAAGTCTTCACCGTGATTCTTTTCTTGCTGTTTTTTAAAAAATCTTGAAGAATAATATCTAAGAATTTTTCACTGGCACATTTCATTTTTTTGGATTTGTTCATATTGTCATGTTTGCTTAAAGGAAATCTTTGCTGATTCTGTCAGTTATCTATAACAATAACCAATTATTGGATATTTTCTCTAGATGTACAAGGTCGTGTTCAAATCATTGTAAAGTCTTCAAACATTTTTCATAACCTTTTTAAGAGCTTTTTAAAAAGACTCACATTTCAGTTTCCAAGTATGCTCCAGTTTTAAGCTTTGTATAAACTTACCCTCTTTCAAGTAGATTCGCTCTGAAATCTTGAGCAGTCATTAATATTTTAAGTTATTGCTGCAATTGATCAGTTCAAACTAGGCGCAGCAAGACTCTCTTATACAGTACATAAAAACCAGATGCATTGTTCTATGATTGAATAAACCGCTGGTCCTTAAAATGAAGCATTTATGTAAGCATTGAAAATCTTTGATACAAACACTGATCAAATATTTGATGGAATGCATATAAAACATTAAAATTGCTTTTGTGCCAATTTTTATTTTGCTAGGAAAGTTTAGTTTATCTATTCCTGCAAACAAATTTATATGCTCACAAAGGTTGAAATATGAAGATTATGCATCTACTGTATATACTATAGTAGATAAAGCCCCAAAACGGTTTTAGAAATTTTTTTTTCAAGGAAGGTGCTTTCATGGAATTTCAGGAGAGAATTGTTGAATATATTTTACCATAAGCCTGAGAAAGCATGAAATATTCTTTTTATATTTTACTAAGCTTATACACTTCTACACTTGCCTTGAATTTTAAAATAGTGATAATAAAATGAGATTTACATCAGGATACTCCTCTTTGTAGCTGGGTTTGTAAGATGGCTGGTAGGGGGCTGGTTGGTAGCTGGGCTGCTTATACGGCTGCCTGTACCGGTCATCAGCATAGCAAACTGCTGCGAGGAAGACGCATGCCAAAAGTGCCAACTGCAAAAAATTGGGATTTGAAATTAAACGCATTGCATTTCTCAAAATAAAACACATGCACAGTACACTGAAATCATGACATAAAAAGAGATCAGCTGAGTTATGAAACTTTCATCATCATGGAATCAGTTGAGTATTCTTTGTTCATGAATATCAGCAGAACTTTTTTCTTATATACTGCTCCCAGTTATCATTTTTAAATACTTGAAAATAATGTGCTTTTTGGCAAACTATTTGAAATGCAATCCTGTGCAAATAAAAATATTTCCTAAAGCAATATACATTCCATAAGCAATGCCCATGGTTTTTAATTTGAGCTAATTTTTGGTTACATTTCACGTGTTGAATTTTAAAGTGAACCAACCACCTTGAGAAATGTATTTGAGACAGTTCAACATTTTGACTGTAGGAGTATATAGACAGACATTCCATTTGTATCACCCAGGTACATGGAAGTCTTGCTTCATACTATGTAAATAAAATTATAAATCTCATTCCATTGGTTTAAAATTTGTGTTACCTCTTTATTCTTCCACTCTGTAAAAAAATGTGCACAGTATCAATCAATAAGGATTTTTCCATATTTGCTTCATTGCAGAAATTATGAATGGCAAGACATTCCATTCTTTACCTATACAATAGTTTTTTCTGAATGCAATTCAGATACTGATTGATAGATACATTCAGTGCAACAGTAACAAATTTGACTGCTGACTATACAGCATGAAATTCGACTGTTCTGTAAATCAGTGAATATTATCCCTGACTGAAGCAACTCTATCAATGGATTTTTGGACAATTAGCTGAATGGTGGTGTTTTTTGGAATATGCTTGGTATACTTTGCTATTGGGAATGAACTGCCCTCAGGTTATACCCACCCAGAAAAATGGGTTGCCTTTTTGCACTTTGAAGTTTTTTTTTTGCATTCAGTCAAGGATTTAGTTTAGCAATCAATGATTTTGAAAGTGGTCAATAATTTCCAAACAGCATACATTTTTCAGGGTTTTTTTTAGTCATTGCAATTGCTGAAAATCAATGATGGAGAATTTTTTCATTGTTTGATCAAGATTTTCAATCGAATTTCAATGCATTGGACCATTTTGTTTTTATCTGATGCATGCATTTCCCATTGTACTTATTTAAAAAAAAAATGGAACTGCTGTTCAAGTCGCCCACTCAAAGACAATGAAGTACTTTCTTATATCCCTATTGATCTATCACTTGAATTGAGTGTACTGGTGGAAAATGATGACTTGAAATTCGATTTACTTTTTTGTTTTTTCAAAAAGCAAAAGCGAAAGCTTACCTTCATCATCTTGGAGATTTTGATTTGAAGAATTTTCTTCACAAGAAAAAAAACAGCTTCTGGTTATATATTGAAAAAAAAAGGGTATCACTTGCTCTTTGAAGCAGATATCCGTGCTGTGATAGGATTGAAAAGGAACTGATGTCGGTTGGAAACTCAAATCCAATCTTTTATACCCCGTCACAGTACAGCAACCCGCCCGCGACGGAGTGGGGTGGAAAAAGAAAGAGGGCGGCGCCCTTGGCAATGACCTCGCCTCAGGCCATTCGTCATCAAACCCAACGACTCCCTATATATATATTTTATGCATTCTTATTTTTATTTTTGGTATAGGGGAAAAAAAGTACGCCATTAAACACGCGAGTGTTTCACAGCCGCCTTCTTTCCACGCCCTTATGGGTTTTATGAAGTGCTAAATGGCTTGAATACCAAGTGAGAGGCCCGTGATTAATCTACCCACTGACGGCTAAACAAGGAAATTATCCGGGTAATTAATTTCCAGGGCACAAAATTGCGACTTTAACCCCCTACAGTGTGGGGATTATTTTCCGAATGGGACAATTTACCATTTTTGGAAGCGTTTCACTTAATATTTTCCCCTTGACGCTATTTCTTGAATTTTTTTCTTCTTCAGGATACAGTCAACAAATGAAGTGAAAAGAAATTTTACTTAGTGGAAAGTTCTTGAGGCTTTATCGAAAAGGAAAATTTCAAATCAACTTACGGCGAGGAGGACTTTCAAATTAACGAATATAAAGTTGCGACACTTCACTGAAACTCTTCCCCTTTTCCAATACTGTATTTCTAAAGTGCTAAAAATTATGAAAAATGAGAAAAATGCGGAGGCCTTCGAAATCCACAATTGAACCGCAGCAATATAATCGCGAAAAATTTAACATTTCGATTGCGATATAATTTACGAATTTCCAAGGTCAAAAATTGCGAGCAATTACAATTTTTGGGTCGAGTCCATTGCGTAACTGAATTATATTTTCAAAATTAAAGGTAAACTATTCCACGGCTTTTTTTTCTGCAGCCAAAATATGCCATGTAAATAAGCAAGCAAAAGAAGGTTCACATTTTCATTTCGTTCATTTTTAATTTTTTTTGGCACACTGGTAGCAAATTCTGAAATTTTGGTTTCTACTTATTTTTTAGCCATAATTTTGCATTGAGGAAAATCAGCTAGGTTAAAACTGCTCGGATTTGATTTGTTTCAAATTTTATGCACGAACAACTTGAAAAATCTGCTGTATTATGAATATGCCTCGAAATGTTGAGTTTCTTCCTTGCACAATACTCAGGAATAAACATGCCCAAGTAAAACTCATGAAATGTTTGCAGAAAATAATGTTGAGTAGCCCGGATTTTACATTTTTCTTCGCTTTTCACAGTTTGTCATCATCCTTCACTTGAAAGCAAGACAGAAATGGAAAATGGAAAGTTTCCGGAATTTTCCGAACATTATTACGTGGAACATAGAAATATAGTAATTTAAGAATAATATTATAGTGTTGATTGAAATCTCAAGAGTTTCCAGTGAAGCTGTTTTTCAGTATCTTTAGTTCAGCTGCTAATTAACCCACAAATCAGTACGTAAATAAATAATGATTTCAAGGACTGCTAAAATCCGATCTTTTGCTAATAATCAGTTGGTTTATGACACAGTGAAAACTCTAAATCTGGGGATACCTTCCAAATTTTTTGTCTTCTTTTACAGTTGGTCAAAAAGAAGCCTATAAAATATTCAATATCTGTGCAGTATTTTCAGTGCATTGATAATTGATACCTGTACAGTAAAATCTCGTTACAACGAAATTCCAAGGACCTAAAAAATCTATATAATAAAAATCCGTTGTATTGAGATTCATGGGTTTATACACATTTCAGACTGAATTTTTTGGGATATTGGTAATACTGTAACGGCGTGTAAAAAATAATTCAACATCTGTCATATTTGATAAGTATTTCTGATTAAATGAAGAGAAACCGTTTGAAATAAATACTGTGTACAACGTATAATGTTAATTTTTTATGATGCTTTGGAATATAAACTATATCAGGAAGCCATCAATATTTTTCCAGAAGTATTCTCCAGAAATTCAATCTTGAAGTCTCTATAGAGAAAATCAACGAAAGTTTAATGATCCGTAAAACCTTTTTCCGTCTCATGGGATAATTTTCACAAGAAGTGAAAAAAAATAAAGGCGTGATCAAGAATCGTTTATGTCACAATCAGCACCAGGGCTTGATTAAAAAAAAAAAAAGCCGGAATGCAATCGTTGAGAGTTTCGAAAAAGAACACTTATACGGTCATGATGACTGAGGATTATTCCCGGGAAACCGAGATTTGAGATTTGTAATACTGTACGCAGTTTTTTTGCCCATTAATTCCGAAGTATATTTCGTAAGATGGAGTTCGTAATTCATTTTTGCTCGAGGAAAATCAAGAGCACCTCTCAAGCTATACTTGGTTTGAATTTCGGAAACAGTATATGACCTGGAATAAAAAAAAATGGGCATTCAATCTCAAACCTTAATTAGTAAAATTTCGAGAGAAATTGGGGCTATTATTCTGAAGGGGACCCAATAAAATTGAAGAGCAAATTAAAATGGAACTATAGATAATTGATGCTGAAAGGATCGCCACTTTTATTTTCCTGGGATTGCTTTTTTTCATTTCTTGCAGAAATGCTATTTTCCTCACACATTTTTTAAAAAGCTTTTCTGAGTTAAAATTGAGCAGATAAGGCTGTTGATAAATATTTTTTGGGGCCGGGAGCTTTCCACAAATTTCCAAACTACTGACATATTTTTCAACTTGCTTTTCTTTGTCTTTTTGTCGAAAATGTCGCGTTAACTGTACCTAATTTTTTATAGTGTGAATTCCAGGCTGGCATTCTAACCAAACATTTTCTCGTACGAAGACTTGAAGTGTGAAAGAGGGGCTTTCTGAAACTACCATAAGATTGAAGAAGGTATTCCGTTTTTAATACAGGTGCTGGACCCTCTCTATAACAATCTTGTCTGTACAACGATTTTTATCTCTGTCAAACATTTTTTGTTGCCTGTGGAAATTCTCCACCCATGAATTGTTTATTTTTACAGCGAAATCATCTCTACAAAGCAGTTCAGCTGGTCCGTATAATTTTGTGGTAAAGATACTTCATGCGTATCTTGTAACTGTTGTGGGATCTTTTTCAAACCAATTCTACCTTAAATTCACTTTGAAGGATAAAATAAATCGCAGTGAATAATTCGTTTATGTGTGTTTGGAATCTGTATTTTAAATATCTTTTTATGTTTCTGCCCTAAAATTCACCATTCTTTTGTAACAAATATTTTTTTCTGCAGAAAAAGGTCATTGTTGAGATAATTTTATTTTAGAAAACCCCTAATATAGCTTGAAAAAAACCCCTTGGAGCAAAAAATTATTTTATGGTGCAGAGAAAATCTTTGTACAGACAAGAGAGTTCACCTGTAACAGATGAAATCAGAAGGTAAGTGTATGCATTTACATCAGTTGTGCAATTGTACATTTTGGAATGTATTTTCTTTTCTTTTAATATTTGTATACTGTATTTACTCAAGTACCACACGCCCTTGAGTAAGGCGCGCACAGGGGTTTTTCAGCTGGAATTTTTGATAAAACCTTATCCCTGAGTAAGATGCGCACCCCAAGTTTTAGTGAATCTAAAACCACAATATTTAGAAAATAGAAGCAAAAAATTTGACTTTAGACATGAATTGAACAAAAATCTGATCAATTTTCAACTTTTTCAGTAGAAAATGTAAGATGCGCACCCCAAGTTTTAGTGAATCTAAAACCACAATATTTAGAAAATAGTTCGTTTTTTAAACTGAAATCTGTACTTAACTTGTTTTTAGACTAGTTAAAAGTTGAAAAAGTCATCTTTTTGTAAAATAACCATGTAAACAAGGATTAAAGAGGTAAAATTAGTTCATATTAAGTGACCTAACTTCCTAAAACTTCTTGAAAAATTAGTACCCGCTTATGAAGCGCACCCCTTTTTTTCTTCTGAAATTTGAGAAAAAAGGTGCACCTGGTACTCAAGTAAATACGGTATACAGCTTATTTCTCTGTTTTCCATTCTGATGTGATGAAATTTGTTTGAATAAATGTGGGTGGTGAGAGGAGGGGATTTTGATGTGGGAAAGTTGCTTGAACCTTATTGTGAATCTTAAGAAGCAGAAAATAAAGCTTGGGGTTCAAGTCAATTCAATTCAAAAATCAGTGCAATAAAATAAATTCTTTCAGCTTTGAAAAAATCACTAGTCAATTTCAGAATTGCTGAAATTGCATCAAGAAATTTGTTGAAATCCCCGATAGCAGGAAACCTTAATCATGGGTGTGCGAAAGGCGTGAAACGCAAGTACGATTTGAAGGATTCTTTTGTTTCCCACAGTTGATCACATAATTGCAACCGCGGACAGAAAACCATAGAAAATACCCCAGTGCAAGTGACCTCAGCTATGTGTCATTCTTTCGTTATTCGTCGCGAAAGTATTTCTGAAAAATGGGGCACAATTTGCTCCATCATTTATTTGCAAGCAAACACCGAATTGTGAGAAGATAACTGAAGTGACCTATTATGCTGGGGGAAAAAAGGTTGCGGTTTTCAATTTGTTTCTGGCGCTTTCAGTGAAAATACTGAATTGCCAGTCATTGAAGATGAAAAGTGTGTCATATAAGCTAGTGATCGTTCAAGCAATTGTTTGACGATGACCGTTTTTCTATAATTCTGCTGCTTCAGCATACTGTACATGGGGAAATGAGATTGCAAATTGAAACAATCATAGATTTGCATACAACATTTCTCTGGTTCTCCCAAAGGCTGCACCCGCCCTTCCAAGAGGTTTATATCTCATCAGCTATAGTCTTTGAATATATTTTCATCATTCGGAATAGGTCTGAGTATACTGTACTAAGACAAATATCACAGGCAGAAATTGTAGGCCTTGGACTATGTTTTTGAAGAGGAAAAAAATTGGGAGTGAACTCTTGCTCTTGGAAAAATGCAAAATGGACATGGGTTTTCATCTGCTGAAAACAAAATAATCATTAGAACAATGTGAAAATTGAACAAGATGTAGGAAAATTTGTGCTAAAAACAACACAGAAATTTCAATTCTTTGTCTTGCCTGAAACATTTTCAACAGCTTGTGACATGGATGGAGAACTCTCTGCATAACTGGAGAGTTTTTACTCATCATCATGCAGTATAAATCTAGATTTTGAAAATGAGAATCAGAAAAATCACAGGACCTTTACAATTGCATGGGCTCTCATTTTTGCATATTTTTTCAGAGGTTCCTACTCCATGAATAAGCAAGGTCAATCAGAAGTGGGACAATTAATACTCATAGTTTCTAGGAAATTTTATGGCCATTTAAAAGCTTGAATGTCCTCAAATATAATCAATGACTTTTTCACATATATACAGTATCAGCATAATATTAACTAAATACTGAATAAAGCGTGTAAATGGAAGCTGTTTTCAGGAATTTGTATTCTAGCTGTCTTGCATTATAGCACAATTACAAAAAA